ATACTGCCGCTGATGCAAACCACAAAGACAATGACAACAGGAAGTAGTTGGTGGTCAGGTTTTTTTGTGACAAAACGATGAGTCGCGGGATGTTCTTCATATTATAAAGTGAGAAACAACCTTTTTGCGTCCTCTAGTCTGATCCCGACAGCGCTACTTTAATTTTTCTACACATACCTTGTGTTTGTTGTTTCTGAGGTTGCTGTACTTCTGCAGGCTTCTTCACTGCAGGGGAGATCTTCATTTTGGACTAAGGTGAAAAAAAAATACATTTGAATTAAGTGCTTGGATTAGTCATCGAGAATTAATATGTCAATTACCTCTTCGTTCTTTCATTTGTTTTCAACCAGTTTTTAACTTGCATGGGTGTGAAGTGTTCCTCACTTCCTATTACTTGCATGTTTCTCACACTTGTTTTTCAGAAAATCAAACCAATTTAAATATTAAATATTTCAACTAGATTGGATTACTGTAACGCACTTTATCTGGGAGTCAGTCAGTCGCTGCTCCCACGTCTGCAGCTGGTTCAGATGCTGCTGCAGGACTTTTGACAGGAACTCGAAAGAGGGAACATGTGACCCCTGTCCTGGCCTCACTTCACTGGCTGCCTGTATATTTTAGGATTCATTTTAAAATTCTTATGTTTATTTTAAATCACTACATAATCTTGGCCCGGCTTACCTCTCTGAGCTTCTTCACCCCTATATACCTCATCGGTTTCTCAGGTCTGCCGATCAGCTGCTCTTGGAGGTACTGAGATCCAGAAGGAAGCTCAGAGGGGACAGGGCTTTCTCTGTCATGGGTCCTAAGTTATGGAACGACTTGCCTTTGCAGGTCAGAGAGGCCCCTTCACTGTCCACTATTAAAGCTCGTCTTAAAACCCATCTATTTTATTTGGCTTTCAACTCCAGCGGGATCTAGTTTTAAATTGTATGCTTTTGTTTTTAAACTGTAAGTTGTTTTTTTTTATTTTTTTTATTGTTATGTTGTGTTTTGATGTACAGCACTTTGTATCAGCTGTGGTTGTTTTAAAGTGCTTTATAAATAAAGTTGGTATGGTATTAGAGACAACACAAGTAAACAGAGAATGCAGTTATTGAATGAAGCCGTTTCAGAAAACTTGCTAAGCCCGGTGGTCCAGCTGCCCACCATGTCTGAGTTCAAAAGTTGACAGGAAAATTGAAAATATGACCTGTGTTGTTGGAAGACATCATATTTACAACACCTAAACAACAACTAAAAAGTCTCAAGAAAAGACAAACACAGAAAAATGCTATTAAAATAATATCAATTGTTTCATCCTAATTAAAGTGTCCACATTTTTTTGATCCGTGACTCGTCACTTTAGTTGCTGAAGTTGTTACCGTTTCACCAAACACATTTTTTAACCTGTTTTTGCCATCACTGTTACTGGAATATATATATGTATATATATTTTAAAAACCTATAACAATAAACAAACAATGCTCAGCCTGGTGGGGGAGCAAGTAAAGCCTGGTGGCCCACCAGGCTGATCATACACTGTGGGAAACATCCTGTGTTTATTACTAAGGGGGAAAAAATCCAAATCCACATGGCTCTGTGTGAAAAGTGAAATATAAAAAAAATTAATTAATTCATAAAAAAAAAGGAACTTACTGCTCTTGTGGTCTTCTTGGGCAGCTGTATTTGACGAAGACTCTGTGTGGACTCAGTCATGCTGCGATGTCGAGTCAACATTCCACTCCTGCACAGAAAACAAATTAAAGACTTATAAAACATATATTGAACCCTGAAGGTTTACTATGTTTTTTCTTTAAATAAAAAAAATAAAAACAACAGCAACGCTGTTAATTTTACAACACTCCTTTCATTATTTCTCCAATTTCTTGGAGCATTTTTTTGCAAAACCCGCCTCCTCTTGTTGGCCGAACGGTTCCGCAGGTCGTGCAAGCCGTCATTAGAGACGAGGCTCTGTGCCGAGACGGCAGGCGAGGAGGCAGAGGGGGAGATGCTGTCCTTGGCAACAGAGTCGTCGCTGAAGAAGTCAGCAGGCAGAACGGCCACCAGGGCGTCAGGGAGCTGAGTGCCGAGGCTGTTGTAGACGTCTGCAAGCACTTTCGGAACAGCAGTCAGGAAGCTGTCGGGATGGAGAAACAACACTTTTGTTTTTAGTTCTTGGGAAGCATTTAAATATGGCGCTTCTTCTCCTTTAGGACTGTTGGAAACTAAAGGAAAAAAAACAAAAACAAAAAGAGGTTCATGTACTAAATTTAAATAACAGGGTTTGGTGAAGTTTACCTCAAACTGTGTACTCAAAAATTTTAATTCAAACCCAAATGTACAAATTTATACATGAAACAAAAAAGTTTTATGACAAACCAAGTGATGTGTTTCAAGCATTTATTTCTGTTCATGATTATAGAAAAAGTGTGAGCGAAAGTGTCAGGAGTGTCAGTGTCTGGAATAAACTTGACAGTCAGATAAAACAATCTAAATCTCTTTCTGCATTTGAAAAAGTTTTGAAAATTATGATGACGCAATATGGTGCCGAGTAAGTTGATGTCTTTTGAGCGAAACAGCTAATTTTATTTTTATGTGAATAGCTGGCAGAAGTAAGTTTGCACTTCTTTTTGTTCATTTTCTCATGATTTGTTTTAGTTGTTACTTAAACTATTCATATTTATTATATAGTGAATGAAATAAAAAAAAATAAAATGAAATGGAGAAAAGTCATGAACTACCCAAAGAACTACGGTAGCCCAGAAAGGACAACAAAATGAAGGAAACAGTCAAAAGCCACAATGGAAACTATGTTAAAACAGAAGTTAAGCTAACAAGTCTACCATAACTTCTGTTGCCCTTTTTTTTTTCTTGCATTTTCTTGACCCTTTTGGGGCACCATAAAGAATGCCCATCTCTGTAGAGGTGCACACATACCCTGGGAGGACTTCGTCCTGAAGAAACCTTGCTAGGCACACCGGGTCTTTGGTTAACGAGATTATTCTGAGCATTTCCGCCGCCTGACAAAAGACAAAAAATATTAAAACTAGAGAAAAACACAAGACAGCTGCGTTCTGTCGACAGGAATGTTGACCCTTTTACCTCCTCCACCATCCGGTCTGCGTCTGAGTGGGATTGTTTGGAAGCAAAACGTCTGCACAGCTCCAGCCGCAGCATCACTTGCAGTTGGCACCTAGATCGGTTTGATTAGTTAGAGTTAAACGATCCAGATACAGCACGAGAACAGAGAGACGAGGAGGAATCGGTTCATCAAGTGAATCCATCACTCACTCTCTGACTTTGCTCTCGGCTTCGTCAGCGCTGGGGTACAGCTGGCGGATCGATTTGCCGGTCTTCATGAGATGCTGTTCCACAAGCAGAGACGCCTTTTCCTACAGATGAGACGATGTGGCTATAGAATGAACTTAAAATTCATTGACATAACATAACATGACAGGAAAAGTTCTCCAAAGTGACTTTTATTTCAATCAACGAGGAGAATCAGAGCCAGGCTACGAGAATTTCTCTTTAATTACGAGAATATAGTTATGAGATTAGAAGAACTGATGCAACTTTACCAGAAAAATGACTTAAAATGATGAGTAAAAAGTTGTTTTAATGAGGAAAAACAGCCTTGACAGAGGAGTTATCTGGATCTGACATGAGTAGGTCAGTCCATTTAGAAGTAGATACAATCATTTCAATGTTCTGCGACTGATGATAATTTGAGGATGATGTGCAAAAAGGCCATATTTTTCTATTAAGTATTAAATTATATTAAACTATGACTTCACAAGTTGCTCAATATTCCATTCCTATTTTTCATGTTGCAGTTCTCATAAAATAATGACTTTATTCTGGCAAAATTATGATTTTATTTTTGTAAATAAAAACAAAAACATCTTAGCCTGACCCTCAGTCATAAAGTTGACCAGAATTCCAAACCTAAATAAAAACAAGATGGCCGCCCTGACATTGCTATGAAATATAAAAATCCAATGAGCTTAATAAATTCAGATTTTCCAAAAATGACATCTTCAAAAGCTCGATAAAATTGATTTATCGCCTAGCCCTGGACTGCAACAAAAACAAATCTTTATAAGGTAAAAAAAACAAAAAACAAAACATTGTGTTACCTGCCAGTCTGACTCTGCAGTTAGAAATGTTTTTACGGCGTTGAGAAGCTGCTGAGCGGTGGTCAGGAGAGACGAGTCTCTCTCTGCTACCGTCTTGTTGTAACCGGCCTTCAAGTGCCTCAGCAGCTCTTTCTCACTAGAAAAACCTGAGAGACGGAAAACAAAGCAGCAAAAGTCAATATGAAATGTGTTATTCAAGCACATCGTCAGACTTTTATTTAGAAGTTTAACTTACTGAGCGCGCTCGCTGCTGCCGGTTTGTTCCTGTCACTTAGCCGTCTCTTCCCGGCTCTGTCGGCGCCCGGCGGCTCGGCCTCGCTCTGACTCTTCTGAGCCTTCACGTTTAGCCGCGCCACGTTCAGCATCTGCAGTGAGCGACTCATTGTCTTCATCTTCTGCTTCACCGGCGTACGGTGGGCACCCCCTGCAAGGCCAGGAGCCAAAGAAAAAGGAGGTAAAAAAAAAAAAAAAAGAAAAAAGATCCGTAAAAGGTGAATGTAGGACAACAATCGCCTTTAAAAATGGTTTTCGATTTTAAAGTAGCTGAATTTTGAGTAGCAGGTGGAAAGAATTATGACATATATAAAAAGGAGCTTGCGTACGTTTCTTCCCCTTTTTGCTGACTGACTCCTGGTACAGTTCAGACAGACCGCTGACCAGATTCTGCTGAGCCTCAAAAAGATCCTCAGCTGATCCCTCTTCAGGTACCACATGGAGCAATCTGCAAACAATCATTTCAGAAAACGTTTGTTTCTTCTTTCTTCATGTCAATGTCATCATGTTCCAAACCTGGAAGCAGATCTAGATGAAGTGCAACATCAGCTGCGTTTCCGTTACAAATGTGCACAAAACTTTGTCGGCATTTCACTAATGTCGAAAAAAACAAAACAAAACACAATTTTGCAATAGCAGTGTTTCCGTTAAATAAGAAACACAATTAAAATCACACGTAACTAAGTTTGTTTGTGTGATAGGTCATTAAAAAACATCATCCTCCAACTACTTCCTGTTGTCTTCGTCTTCGTGGTTTGGACCAGTGGCAACATCTGGCTGCTGGTCATGTGACCTGTGTACTGCAGTTTTGCAAAATACACTAATTTCGATACAGTAAAAAAAAATAAAAAAATCAGCTCAATTTATTTTTGAAGAGTCAAATTGCACATTAATATGGTGATTGGGGAGGCAGCTAGTGATTGTAATGCCTTCGAGGCAGATTCAGATCATGTGTTATCAAATCGGTCAAGATTTCTTGTTAAAGGAAACATGTAAAGCAGGGTTATTTATAAAATGCTGTGTAAAAATATTTTGTTAATGACAGAAATTTTTTTATTTTTTTATCATTACAAAAAAATTAAAGCTGTTAAAGTCTGTTTTTATGTCTCCTTATTAAATAAATATGCAGAGGGAAAGTCAGAAATTATGCAAAGTCTTGTCACTTTGCACAATTTCTGGTGCAAAGTGTGAGTAGATTTACTCTGTGATATGATTGAGTTTTCATTTTAGGCAGATGATCCATCGCCACTGCCAGATAAGCAACTGAAAAAAAATAAAGCCTACAACGACAGCAGCAGCCTTCAAAAAACAGAACAAAACAAAATAAACAAACAAATGAATAAGAATTCCTTTTGTACCTTATTGACTCCATTAAATTGGCGCCGACTCCTGACTGATCCGACTGTGGGAACCAGGCCTCTAAGGTGTGTGTCATTGGTGACCTGTGGCTCAGCTCCTGTGCAGCCCACTCAGGTGCAGGAGGGTCCCGGACCTCATCTTTACAAGAAACGAAAGCAAATTTACGTACAGCGTTTAAACTGAGCTCAGCATTAAAAACATGTTGCTACACTATTCAGGGATGGATTCTCAGACAACACACAACACGTACCAACATCTGCAGTTAGCTGAATTGAGCAAAAACTATAAACACTTTCATAACTACAAATCAAACTAGGACTTTTTAAAAAGAATATCTGACAATTTTCCAAGCTCAGAAAAAAAGTGCTAACTGGTGTCATCCAGAAAACCATTTGTTACTCATATAGATTCATTACACAGAGTGAAATATTTTAAGCCTTTATTTCTTGTCATTTTGACCATTACGACTTACAGATTATGAAAACGGATAATTCAGTGTCTCAAAGTTTTAATATTTTTAAAAGGTTAGAGTATTCATAGAAAGTTGAGTGGAAGGAAAACGTGCACACGCACAATGATTCGCAACTGAGGCTTGACGCACACATGAACCCTGCAGATGTGCTACGAATGTTACAGAAACTGTCAGTGGAGTCTGACTTGGGACTGAGTGTTGTCTGAGTATTTGTTTTATGTTGTAAATTTGTCCTCAATGTACAGTCTCTTATTCTTATTTTCCTATATTTTTTATTTTATTATGCACAGTCCCGATTACGTAAACTTTGCCCACCGTGAGACAATAAAGAATATTTCTCTACTATTCTGATATTTTGATTATTTTTTAAATTAACCAAATAATAATTGGATAGCAAAAGGTGCTGAATAGGAGATTTATTTATAGAATTTGAACTGGGTGAATCTAGCACTGCGACTTGAGGAGTTCTGGTAGAACATATTTATAGACAAAGGTTGTTTTCTTATTTTAATCTTAGATGCAAAATGTAGATTTTTTTTTTTTTTTTACAGTTTTAGTTTAGTCACTGCTCTGAGTGTGTTGTTCTTTAAGTAAATGGCCTTTTGTGAGTCTGTATGCTCCAGTTAATGATTAATCAATTACTAAATTAGTTGATTATTTGAATAATCGATTAATCCGATTAATTGTTTCAGGTTCAGTCTGCTTTAATTCCTACCGTCAGTCCTGTCGCCATCCTGGTTCATTATGTCATAGACCACGCCCAGAACGCTGTTCACCACTTCCGGCAGGTCAGCGGAGGTTTCCGCGGCGGAGGGGGCGGAGATGTTCGTCTTCAGCAGCTGGTCGTGCTGAAGGACGATCGGCTGGAAAACGGTGAGCAGAGCTGTGGACTGGGACAGCGGGGAGAAGACGGCGGGACACGACAGCCCACTGTGGCCGACTTCAGCGAGCTGTGGAGACAATTAAAGCAGGGAATGAAAAGATCAGAGTCACCAAGCGAAAAGCCATTTTGCTTAAACATCAGACGTCGTGCTGCGTTAAACGCTCCCATTCCGTTTGTTTAACTCCACGCAGCTCGACTTTTAAGACAGATCAGATTTTTTATTTTTTTTTAAGAGCTACATTAAAAGGAGAAGGTGTGTCCTTGCTTTGAGCTAGCGCTAGAACTAACTTGGAGGAGAAAAAAAAAAAAAAAAACTGTAACGTAAGGCACAAAAAAAAAAAAAAAAAAATAAAAAAAATGAAATGTTTAGACTGGATTTTAAAAAGCTTGTTTAACTTTCATTGCTGCATTTTGTAGTTGTGTTTCAGGTCACTGTAGCGACTTCCACCTTACAGGGCTGAAACAATTAATTGTATTAATCGTGATTAACTGATTATTAAAACAATCACCAGTTATTGTAGTAATGAATTAATAATTAACTGGAGCATACAGACTCAAAAAAAAAAAGGACCAGTTGGTGAAAAGAAATACAATTTCAGCGCAGTAATTAAACCAAAAGTGCAAAAAATATTTACATTTTTGCATTAAAGATAAAAAACACCTTTGTCCAGTAAATATATTTTAGCCAAAACTAATTTTAGCTTCACTCAATTCAGATTCACTATAGGAATGTCACTGTATTGCAATTTATGTAATTAAATATTTATTTTCTTATATTTTAAAAATTGCTTATTTGCATCTTTTAATGTATTTTTAATATTTTGTCAGAGAGGATTAAGAAGTTAAATTAAAAATCTGTAGAATGTGCAATCCCCCGGTTTGTCAGCAGATTAATTGATTACTAAAATAATCAATAACTGCAGCCATACACTGCTTACTGATGAGGTGTGCATCATCTTTGTGTTTTAGGGGAAAAGAAAGCTTCACATGAGAATTTGTGTCTTTGCTTGGTATTTGCAGAATCTCATCCGTGTCACATCTCCATAAAAACTCCCATGTGGTATAAATGTCAGCTTCTCTCTGGTCTCTCACCATTTGAAGTGAAAGAGCGGACAGCTGTGTGAAGAGAGGCAGGAAGGCAGCCACTTCCTGGTAGCTGCTGCTGAGGAGCTGAAGCAGCCACGACTCGGTGGGAGTTCGAGTCAGGCACGAAGCATCCCAGCCCTGCAGCGCCCCCTTCAGGTGCACCTCTACGGACTCCTGCAGAAGACGCTGGCCTCGGCACATCGGCTCCACCGCCACACGGCAGCTGTGAGAATCGTCTCCTAGATTAGTAAAGAATAAAAATAAATAAATAAAATAAAATAAAATAAAAAAAAACGAGGGAAATAAACCGGCAAGTTTATTTATGGATATATACAAACATTATGTTTAGGTGTTTTACAACACGTTTGGTCATCTTAATGGTAACGTTTGTGTTCCGTGGGGAGCATACTTGTAATGTTTTGGAGAAGCAACACAAAAGATTGTTTCAGTTTATATTTGGGACGATTAATAACTTATATGGCTTAAAAAAATAAAATCTCTAAATTCTTTAGGGGGGGTATATCTATTTTCCCTCCCTTACTTATTTCCCTTAAAAAGAAATTACAAATTAAATAAACTACTTTTAAAAATTGGCTTTTACTTCAGTCATGACTTTTGTGAATTGACCTGAATTCAAGGTCCAAATGAATAGAAGCTGTAAAAACACTCGTGGAACAAGATGGTAGTTTGTTTGTGTGTGTGTGTAGGTGTGTGTGTGTGTGTGTGTAGGTGTGTGTGTGTGTACTTGTTGTGTGTGTGTGTGTGTGTGTGTGTGTGTGTTGACATCTCTCTGAACTCCGGGAGTACAAGGAATGCTTTGGTGGAAAAAAAAAAAAAATCCAGACTTTAATCATTAAATTCGATTTATCTCTCAGACCTACTTACAGGTAAAGTGAACTTTTTTTAAAAAAACATTATCTGGATAAATGACTGAAGTTACAATAATTATCAATGTTTTGGAACATTCTGGAAAACATTCTGCGTTTCCACGAACCGTAGTCCCATCGTAGGACGGCGTCTGCGGCAGGAAAAGCCAGGCGGTACAGCCTCTCTGACGACAGCAGGAAGCCCACGCTGGAGCTGAACAGGGAGGATTCCCTCCTGTGTCTCGGGTCAGAGATGTGATTGGAGCAGAGGTTCAACAGAGCCACCAGGGGAATCACTCTGCCGCCCGCTTGGGCCAGAACCGCAGACAGCTTGTCGGAGCCGAAGCCGTCCTTGCAGCTCTTGATCTGAAACAAGACGGAAGGTTCCACAGGAGATGAGCGGAGAGGGACGGTTCGAAATTATCGCTGAAAACACGAGTTCAAAAACATCCATCTGTGCGTCTATAGAATGCGTTTCACTTTGGTGATGACGTTTCTTTTCAATAATATTCTAAATTATTTGGTGGGTCTGTACGGGCCTGTCACAGTAAACAATAAATCAATTAATTGCATGATACACTAAGACAAACTTGTTATTTTTCATTTTGTTGATTTACCGTTTTTCTCGTTTCTCTTTCTAACAGAACTAGTCTTAAGTCTGGTGCTTTGGTCTCAACTATTCCTTTTTTGAAACATAATTTTGTCTACAGAGACTTCAGAATTCATTTTATTTTTTATTTTTTTCTGTTGTTTTGTTTATACGTTTTGGATTTTTAAAACGTCTTCCAGTTCCAATGTTTAAATCAGGGGTGTCCAAAGTCGGTCCTCGAGGGCCGGCATCCTGCATGTTTTAGTTTTCTCCTTGGTTTAACACACCTGCATCAAATGATGGCTCATTAGAAGGCCTAAGCAGAACATTGGCCTGCTGATGAGGTTGTTACTACCACTAGGGAAAGAACTAAAACATGCAGGAAGCCGGCCCTCGAGGACCGACTTTGGACACCCCTGGTTTTAATGATCATAAAATGTAAAGTTTATCGATCTTTGAGAAAGTGTCCTTGCATTATTGTTTCATAATTACTATTATATCACTTGTAAATTGTCTCAAAACAACAATATTATGATTTATTGCAGCAAGTTCTGGGACAATTTATTGTTGGGCAAAATTTCTTCTTATCCTGACAGACCTAGGTCTGTATGGTTGGTTTGTTTGTATTTTTCCCCTTGAAGAACTAAGTGCAAACAGAATTTGATGGGAGCTAGTTGATTGCAACAAAAAGACAATTCTAGTTCCTCTGCTACTTTCGAATGCAATATTAATATGGAAATAATTGCAGTTTTATTATGAGAACTATAACTTTTGATGGTGTGTGAATTCAGAGAAAACCTACCACAAATTTAAACTTCAGCATCTAAATCTTGATTTAAGATTTTTCTCAAGTTAATGTGCCTGATGACGGTATGTGAATTTTTGGTTAACTTAAAAAAATCTTTAATCGACTTAATTAAAAACAAAACAACAACTTTGAATTAACAGTATTAAAAATATTTTTGATCACTTAATGAAAAAGAAAAAAAAAAAGGTCGACTTTTCAGTAGTGACCCCTCAGTCTCTGAACTTACCTCAACATGTGGACGAGTGTCAATCCAGTGCAGAACAACTTGTTGCTGGGCAACCATGTCGTTAAGACTCTTCGGCAGGATATATTCGGTCACATCTGCTGGCAGGTCGCCGTCTTTTACAGACAGGTAGTCCAAGAGATGAGCCCTCGAACGGGGACACCGTGAGACCACAAACACCATATTCTTCCCGCTGCTTGAAGAGTCGCTTTCTTGAGACACACCGGCCTTTCCTGTAACACGACTTGACTTCCTGGGTCTGAGTGAAAGTTTAGTCGGAGAAGTGATGTCCGGTCTGTCCCACTGGAAGTCCAGCAGAGTTTCCCTAAGAGCGTTTTGAACTGAAACCGATTTGCTGGACTGTTGCTTCTGTTGGGAAGGACACACTTTATCCTTCACATCGAATCTCGCTTCAAGCTCTTGCTCAAAGTCCTCGAATGTTTTGTGTCGCAGCTCCTTGAAGTCGGATCCTCTCGATATGACGGTGGCACTGCGACCAGCTTTTGCCTGGAAAAACGTATAACCCCAGCGCACTTTCTCAAATCCATATTTGTAGCCGAAATGCAACAGGATATTCAATACTCCCCGTTTCACGAAATTGTTTCGAACCTCCAGTGGATGGTCTGACGCGTGATCTTCATAATCAACATCGATAACAAACACTAGGTTGTGCAGAGCCATGCTGTTAAATGTAATGTCAATAAATGGGAAAACGGCATGAAAAACTTGGTACGTTTTGGTCAAATGTTGACCAAGAATGCCGTGACAGGGTTAGCAGTTCAAATACACCGCTCTTTCATTTCATGTAATAACTTTACCTTAGTTTTAAGTGGGTCGGTTTGGTTAACTTCATGTTTCCACAGTAACAGCTATCTGCTAGCAAACAACAACGTTACAATACAGCTGTACAAACTTCAGTCAGATGTGACGCTTTACCAATGTTCTGACGGCTCTCTTTGAAATAACCCAACGCCTGCGCTATAAAGCAGACACCCCGGCACGTAAAAAATATACTTTCCAGACAGCTTAGAGAGTCAACACGACGTTACTCGCATACCTAAACTACATAATCGCCATTTTCCTCATAGGTGTCCTTAACCGTTCGCGCGCCTTCAATATTTGTTCCGCCTCCAAAATCTAATTGGTTGGTTACTCATGACACCAGTTTGATTGGTCAAAAGTAAACTCATGCGTGCGTCACGAGTCCGGTATGCACACAATTCATTGGTTGGGTTTCTTGTCAACTAAACAAGGACGTCTGACGTAAGAATACATAAGAGATTGATAGCAAGAGGTTGCATTTAGCTTCTTTCTTTCTTTCTTTCTTTCTTTCTTTCTTTCTAAACAAAATTGTTGTTAAAACCTTAAAAATAATTTCGAAAAGCAACACAATGTTTTTCTTTTTCTTTTAAAATCACTATTATTTCTGAACAAAGGGGAGGTCATCTTGGCAATAATTCAAACCTTTTAGAAGAAATATTTCCAGTTAAAATATTTCCATGTCTTACTTTTTAGTCACTGCGATATGTATTGAAACCAGGTAAGAATTTTACAAAGTTAATGTGCACTACTTGTCAGAAGTTTTCAATATAAGTATTTGATCATTTGGGTCATAATTATTTTGGACTTTTTTTTAAAATACACAGCTTTAAAAAAAATTAATGTAAAAAGTTCTCGAATTATCACCCTTCTGACAGACAATCTGAACAGGAGAGGAGTTGGATTTGTTGTCTTTATATTACTAAAAACTTTTAATCTTTTGGCACTGCTTGATTGGCTGAAAGGTTTGACTTAATTATTCATTTAGATAAAAGTTAAATATTAACCTTGGAAAATTTAACAGAAAGGCCAAGCAAAGCCAGTGCTCTCCCTAAACCCGACCTCCAAATCCAACATGGCTTCCAAAAAACAGACACATGTAAACATTTTAACCTATCATAAAGATGGTTTCAATAGGTTACCACAAATATTCAAATAATGTTGAATATTTAACATATTCAACCATTTTGGTTCCAGGAAATATGAAGCATGGAATTGAGATTTTAAATTTTTTTTTATATATTATTATTACTTTTTATCCTTGTCTGAAAAGTAAAAGTCATATTAAACACGCTTAGGGTTGAAATAGCCTTCCTTCACCAGTTATTTACAAGAGAACTTGGCATTCTCTCTCTGTTTGCACTGCATTGCCTAAAAAGGGGAAAAATGTCCCAACTCATTCAGGGCAGTGATGTTGAGGTCTGGGGATTTCCATGGGCTTTTAGAGACCTTTCAGGAAGATGGGTATTATAGTTTAATTATATAAATTATCTAAATTATATATAAATTCAAAACAAGCACATACTTCACAGAGATTTGTCAGGAAAATGAACAATAAGTTCGAAAGGTAAACAACTATGGAGTGATCACTTGTAACTGTACACCACCAGGGGGAGACAAACAGTGAAGGCATGAAACTTGGTATCAGAAAGGACATTTAAGACACACCTGGACTCTGAAATACTCACTTAAAAATAAATATCTGAACTTGGTTGTTTGGAAAACAAACAAACAAACTGAAACATCGATGGACTCTGAAAAACAATATTAAGGAGTGAGACTGAAAATCCTCAACAGATCGCAACAATATATTTGTTAAAGTTGCAAAATCTCACCGCCACATCGGAGAAAACTCCAACCTTTAATTCAAGAGTGATATAAATTGGGCCTTCCAAATTTAGATTTAAAAAAAAAAAATTAAATAGGGCAAAATCATTTCTGAAAATGTTAAATATTTTTACCATGCAACATGAGGTAAAATGTTTTTTAATAATCACATTTTGCATCCACTTTCATTCCATATTAAATAAAACACATTTATCCAGTGACTTGTATACCAAAGCAGACTCTGCTGTGTCCAGATTTGCCCTTAATTTATTTCTTAAACTTGTCTGAATACAGCAGTCAAAGTAAGAATGGCATCCCTTTCCTAAAAAAAAATAGAAAAAAAATAACTAATACTTAATTTGTCCAAGTAAAATATTTAACTATTGCATGCTTAATTTATTGTTGAGTAGGAAAAAAGGTGATTTTAATGTTTTTGTTTACTTTTTTCCCCCTCATTTTTTAGCTCGTGAGCACTTTTGATTTAGATTTGTATAATTTTTTATGAACATCGGATTTCCCCCGCTGCCTCCCAACAAAATTGCAGTTGAGGGGGCAACAGAAAATCAGTCCAGGGGCTGAAAGTGGCCAGCGAGCCGCAGTTTGGACATCCCTGCTCCAGATCGTTCAGAGTTGTGGGGCCTCTGGCAGGCTAATGAATTATTTAAGGTTGGGGTTGTCATGCACAAACGCTGAGTTTGCATCTAGGGAGCAATTTCTGTATTTATTTGGCAATATGTTCCAGAAAATTCTCCTGCTAAAACACCGAATAAGGGGCCACCAAATTATTATTATTATTTTTAAATGTGGTATTTCACAAAAGCTTCACCTTCTTTTAGTGTGAGATTATGCTACAGTGAATTTTTTGCTCTACTTTTCATGTGCTTATTAAATTCCATCTACAAAAAACATTTAATTTTTGTAGATGTGATTTCATTCTCCATTTTACGTAAAATCGTAGCTCTGCTTTTAATTTTTTATTTGTTTTAATACTTATTTGATACTTTTTTTAAATCTCAAAGCACTGTTGAATATTTTAATTATAATTCTTTGCTCGAGTATCCTCCAGAGAATTATCCAGGAGCCAGAAACGTCAACAGATTAATAACAATGCAATTAGGGCAAGAGAAAAACAGTAAATATATAAAAAAAACTCATCACAAGCAGGTTGCTTAGCATAATGTTCCCCAGGCTGTGGGTGGAATCACACAGCAGATGCTAGAGACGACTCTTATTCCAGAGAAAATAGAAAAAACACACACACAAAAAAAACAAAACACTTTACCAGATATATTAGTCATGCTGATCTTTCTGTATGAGGACATCACTCATTACTCCGACTAAATTAGGTCTGATGAACGTCACAGAACTGGGACGGTTTTCATTCACTGCCATGTTTGAACCTTTCCTGATCTGATACAGCTAAAATAAACCCTCCATCTTCCATCAAACCCGCCCTCTGCTCTGCCTTCTGTTTGTATTGAAAACAAGACACACGACTTGGCTTGTTTTGGGAGATTTTTCCACTTGTTTTTGTCTCCGGAGCGACGTCAGAGAGATTAGGGCTGTGCAGACAAGAGGAATAATGTAAAAGAAACTCAAAGTTTTTCATGAACAGTAGAGGAGCTGGAGCAGCTCTGTGATTGGCCCGTTTTTCCAGCAGACGTAACAGTGTTGTGGCCGAGTTCACTGGGAAAAAACAAAAACCTGACATTACTGAAAGTGCGTCACCGGCCAAGCAGCAGATACAGGTCAAGTACTGAGTGTTCGCACATGGGGTCAGCGGAAAGTAATCGGCCTTTTACGACAAAAACCCTGAAGACAAATGGGAAGATAAAACTTTCATGCACTCTTCATTGGTGGAGCTGTTATGTTATTTGGTCCTTATAACGATTAATTTGCCCTTTGTACTTTTTCTTCTTCGTAGAGGTTCTAGGCTCTTGGTTGAAGAAAAACGATTGTTTCCTGGAGGCGAGGACTCTGATGACGTTTTAAACGTTACCTGATCCCTAATGTTTGGCCATGACGTATGTACTGTGCCAGTTCAACGCTATGAAGCTTACCGGAAATGGCCTCCACTGTAAACAACCACACTCCACTGCAAAAAGAAAAGTACCAAGTCGAACATGATGGCTGTTAATGCTAATTCAATATTTGGAAGTGTGGTCAACACATTGCTAAAACTACAGGCAGACTACAATTCTAAGATTGCACACAATCTTAGAATTGAGGTTGTGAACAAGAGAAGTTCACAACTTCTCTTTCTGTTATCTGATTGGCCCAGGAAAAATTGTCGAGGTCAACGGGAGAAAGCTCACACTGAGAGGCAAGCAAGATTTGAATCGAGCAAAATAGTGCAGCAAGACAATGTTGATGTTGACATTAGTGTACGTTAAGGTTGCCTTATGTTAATGTTAGCCTGCATCAACGTTAAGTTACGTTAACATTAGCGTACATTAACATTGGCCTATGTTGATGTTTTCTGAATGGACCCAACCTCAGTTTATTGAAAAATCCTAAACAATGTTTAACGGTCAGGTTGTACATCACTTGCCCTGTTGCTGTGGGTTATTACCATTTGCTCCAGGTGCCATCAAAGTCTTGTTGATTTATGTTTTTAGTTTCTTTCAAACTTCTCAAAGTGAATCTGAAATTGACTCAGTGTCCTTGAAAATATTTATTGAAGTACATAAGCAAATATATATATATATATATATATATATACATATACACATACAAAGTAATAGAATCACAAAATATAAAGGTTATCATTTGTATGAAAGTCAAAGTGACCAGAAGTCATAGACAACTTTATATCTAGAAATATACTTGGTTATGCAAATAATAATAATAAATAAATTCATTTTGAAAAATAGAAAGGGAATTTCTGCTCAGTGATCAAAGCAACAGCACTGATTTTATTAACTGAGAAGCTGGGGAGGAAAAAACCCCTTTGCGAGTCTCCAGGTAAAATCTGTGATGGTCCTCTACGGTTCCAGGCCCAGCCGGCTAACTTTTGCTGCAGGACGTTTTGCTTTGTCAATGTATTTACAGAAAAATCAATCACAACGTTAACGTTTTTAGTCATCCTTGCCACATTCGCTCATCAAGTAGAAAAACCTAGATAGAAACAGACGTGCTCTATTGCTCCAAACTGGGAAAATACCCTTCCTCTTCCATATTACTCCTAAATAACTACAGTAGGAAACAAGACGTTGTGCTGAATGTTGCATTGTTTGCTACCTCTACACATTATATCTGTACAGCTGTAAAACCAGCCAGCGGTGGAGGTCGATATGGAAAGGTCCAATGTGCATCTTGGAGCAGTGTGCAGATGAGTTGGTGAGCTAAATGCAGAGTTTTGCGTGGCAGCAGTAGCTTTACGCATAAAGGCAGGACTACAAGTTTGGTTCTGTTCAGTCGACCTCCATCTGTGAAGTCCTCACTGGGTGGAGTCGGAGTCGCTGGAGTCCAGGCTGGCCGGCGTGGGGGTGCGATTGGTCACCCCCGGGCAGTAGAGGGCCTGTGTGCTCCGCCGCAGGTTCTCCAACGACTGAAGGAAGGAGCGACGTGCCCTCTCTTCTTCCAAAGGGGAAGAGCCTTCCTCTTCTACCTCAGCGATCTCGGCGAAAGTGACCGGCTGGGTTTTGAAGCGGGCCTCCCGGGGTCGGCGGGAGCGACTCTTGCCCTTCGCCGGGCTCTTGGGGACGGGCAGTTGCTGGGGGAACTCCTCTGTGGCGGTGGCCATCAGGTGGGCCGAGAGGACGTGGAAGCCCGAGGTCTCCGCCGGCATCTGACGCAAAGCAGCCATGGTGGAACGGGAGCACGAGTGCAACAAAAATGTTAAGACAGTCTCTGCGGACACAAGCTCGTCCTCTCTTGCTCGTTTGGGAGCCTTGTGGTAGAAGAAGAGGAGAAAAATCTCTATCTCAGAAGGGGAAAAAAAGCCAGAGTGGACCAGGGTGCAGACCTCCAAGTCTTGGCAGAATGGAGAAAATCAGTCTTGAAGAAAAAGCGATTGTTGCCGGTGTCGACTCTAACCCCGTCAGTGGGTCTCAGCTCTGTCGTTTGTATGTGCCAGTGTCGCTTTGCTGGAGCGAATGCCACCAGCAGCTCTGACTGTTTCTTTTATAGTGGCTCTCCCCACCCTGCCTCTCTGTCTCTCTCTCTCTCCACACCATGTGTTTACCAGGGCCCTCCCCCCACTTCCCTCCTCTCAGTCAGTCAAAGACCCAGCCTCTGAAACTGTAAGCCCCTCGAAATAAACACATGACAAGACAGCATCTGTGTGTCCCTACGCTGTGTAGCGTTTAACGGATATGCAAAGGACATCCAGAGTCCAAGAACAGTGTGCAGAGATAATGTTTTAAGACCATGTTTAAAAAAGTAGCTTTTGAGACTCCAGCTGCGTTTCCATTGACCATATAATTGAGCAATTTGCAGTTACGCAGCTTCTAACAGGACTTGGTCCAGAATCGGTTTGTATTTAGCTTAGTCCATCTCTTCCCATCAACTCTGAAAAGATTTCCTATCCCTACAGAAGAGAGGCATCGCACAGCTCTGTCCAGTAGTATAGTTTGCATTTTCCAGTCACGCTGTACCATCTTATAGTACAATCAAGTATCTTTGTTGCCTTCAGTACTGCAAAAATGCAGTATAAATCAAATATGACTTAAAAGAAAATTGACTTTGTAATTTAATACCGTGAAATTGGGCTTCTGTCTCTTTAAGAAGCTCCTGCTCTTTCTGAATCTCCGCCTTCAGGAATTCATCGCAACATTGCTCCCATTAACCCTTTAACAATGAATTTACCAGCGGTTCAATGAGAAGTAGCGTGGAGGGCTGCTCTGTGAAACATTTGTTCATTGTTATAAGTAAAATGATCTGCCAGCAGAACTAGTACTTTCTTTAAATCAATTTTAAGGAATTATTGACTCCTATATATTGTGGGAAAGTTACTTATAGGGTTAGTTTTGGCTTATTTCAAGCACACTAAATATATTTGCACTAGAAACTAGACCAAAAATACTTGGTAAGATATTTTGTTTTTGCAGTAAATAGCCTGGACCAAAGCAGTGAAGTGTCCACATCTAATTATATACATACGTATGTTTAATGTCATTTTTTGTGCGTTTGTTATTGCGACAAACATGGCAAAACGGGGAAAGTTCACTGTGCAAGAATGCCTTCAGTTCAGTAGGCGCTACATGAAAAAGCAAAGATTTACAAAGTAGGCTGTGAGACTGAAACATCCCAGCAAATAAACTAAAGCAAATTTGGCATAGGTGTAATAATTTATCTCACCGAAGGTAAAAAAAAAAGAGAGAGGTATGGCTTCACGCTGGCCTCTCTGTGTTAACACTGTAAACATGTAAGCGTGACTGCAGCAGAGCAAAGTACTGGATGTAACAACAGACCCTGTGTTGATACATCAGTCTCATCTGTCACCAGTTAAACTCGCAAAACTTGCACTCAAAGACCAGAGACCAAAACATGACAGATGCGGGTTATGTGTAGAGAAATAGGCCAAATGAGAAAGCTCTAGAAAGTGAAACAAATCACAGCAGTTATAAGTCTTAAAGTGGGGAATAGTAAGAAGCAGTTTTTCTTTTCTTTTCTTTTCTTTTTGATGAAAAAACAAACAGATTTTCGGAGGTCAAATTGGGACCATAAAGTTTGTTCAAAAGAAAAAAAAATTGAAACTGAAAATCCACATCAAAAAAAAAAGTTCAAAACTACTTTTCAGATTCAAGTTTAAAATAAACTTTTTTCTTTTTTTTTTGTTGGTGCTACTCAGTATCTAGTAAAGAGACATGAGTGCAATTGCAGGTTTTATAATTTTGTGGGTGTAAGAACCAAAATCTTAATGTATGTTTAATATATACCTCCTTGCTTGTTTGCTTGTTTTTTTTTTTTGTTCGTTTGGTTATTTTATTTTTATTGCTGCTCTATTATCTGGTCAATTATTTTGTAGATCAATACCCCTTCTTGCTTTTTGTCAGTTTGTAATGTTTATTGTAATGTTTATTATTCACCCTAGTTGGTGAATTTAAAAAAAAAAGTCAGTTTAGAAAAAAAAGAAGTTCAATTGTTATGGACACAGTGGCTTCCGTTTCAGCGCCACATTGCAAAGCTTCGCCCCAGAAACGTTTGTGGCGAAGAGGAGCCCGACCGCACAGAGCTGGTAGTGAGATGAGAAAATCCTCGGATTCATCAGCGGTCCCAGCAGCACTCCCAGCGTGTCACGTCAGCCTGGCTGTTACCGTAGTGACTATATTTATCAGTGTCACTGCTGACGGAGGGGGATGTCAGAGCCAGAGTGGACTGCTGGGATCAGATCACACGTTTTTCTTCCATCTGTGACACGGGTCACATGTCTATTCAGAGTATCTGCGTTTCGACGCATTTTTCCAATCTTGATCTAAAATATCAAACTGTTTTCATATTCATTAAAATTTCGGTAGGGAAAAAAAAGAGAAAGAAATGAGAAATTCAATAAAACGAGAGAAGTGTATCATGTTGGCTTCTGCAGTCGTTTCACAGTCCTGCTATTAATGATAATTTGATGCTGATGTGATAAAAGATTAAGTATTTCTAATCTGCAAAACTTATACCAATGTACAACGTTCAAAATTCTTTAACTTTTTCATTATTTTTTGTGTAGAAGCTGCCATAAAATTTCTGCTTTATTCTCCAAATCTTATGACCTTATTCTGGTAATGTTAACACTATTCTCATTTTCTTTTGTATTTATTCTCATAATTAAATCCATAGCCTGGTCCTAATATTCAAAATCCAAATAAACAGAAGCTGTACAACACGCTCCTCAAAAACAAAAACAAAAAAAAATCCAGATTTTTTCCAAAATCAAATCTTCAAAAACCAAAAAATTCTATTAATTGCTAAAATCGATTCATCGCCCAGCCCTAGTGTGATATCTGTGTTATTTCATCAAAAACGCATCTTCATAGGTGATATAATTATTTTAATTTTAACCCATGACCACAGTCAGTGAAATGCCAGTCCCTCTGAAGGTAGAAAGTTTTTCGAAGCCTGGCCTGATGGGATTTCCTCCAGCGCTCCCTCTGGGGTTTCAGGAGTGATGTCAAACTTTTAAATAAGTTGCCACGATTTCATCACACATTCATCTGGTGACGCGTCAGTGGAGCTCAGGAGGCGAACAGGTCATCCGCTCTCCTGTCTCACACACAGAGACTTGCCAAAGCAAACACACCCTCATGCACTCAGCATGGGCGCAACTTGTTAACAGGAACTTTGAAATGACCCCACGGTTTGTTTTGAGTGGATTTACGGTCAGCATGGGGAAGGTCGGCTATTGCCGGCCAGGTGATACAACACGGCAGACTAGACCTTGCTGTCTGTGTGTGTGTGTGTGTGTGTGTGTGTGTGTGTGTGTGTGTATGGCCCTTTAAAAGTATGTGAAATGAAAAGCTTAGTTTTCTAATTATGTAAAATCAACTTTTTTTTTAGCTTTGCATAATGTTATATAATGTTACTCCCTCATCAAAAACATACCTGGAGTGTTACCTTGTTTCCTTCATGCATGTTTGAGAAATTCTTTAATCTCCCGTGGCAACCATTCAGCTGTGCAAACGCCTGGGTGGACTTAGCCCCGCCTTCAAGGCGAAGCTCCTCCTCAGGGCTTTCTTAAAGAGACAGAGGCCCAATTTCAAGACACTGAATTACAAAGTCTAATTCATTTTAAGTCATATTTTTATAACAACTGAAGGTAACATAGTTACTTGATTGTGCTCTAAAATACTGCCCCTTTAAGAAAGACCTTAAAAATGCAGCATAAATGTAGGTTCTCTCTCTTTACTTTGATACTTGTATGTAGTTAAAAGTTAATTATAGGTTATTATTTTATCAGATCAAATGACACATTAAAACTGTTACTCATTAAGGAGTCAATCAATATCAAAACTACTTTGTATACCTTGTTAGGATGATTGCTGTAGCTCTATGCTAATAAAACTTTGACTTTACAGTTTCACAGCATTCAAAACCAGAGAAACCTGAACATGTAATAACTCACCCATAAAAATGATGACTGCTGGTGGGGTTGGGATGGGCCTGGTGCCTCTGGGGCTCAGTGAGTGAATGGCAGGGTTCACCCAAAGGTCACGCAGAGGTCACGTACAAACTCACACCTTAGGGCAGTTTAGGCTGGCCAGTTATTTCCATGTTTTTAGACTGTGGGAGGAGCCTAGAGCACCTGGGGAGAATCAGGATATCCATAGAGAGAACATGCTAAGTGGGGCTAATAGGGGAACTAGCCCAGGGCGCTAATATTTGGGGTGGATGGGGTACAGATTTTTAAAAAAATGTTTTAATGAATATGTTTTTTTGTACTTTGTACTTCCAATAAGAGTCACAGACTCATCTCAGGCGAGTTGTAATAATATTTGGACATTTTTATGACCGTAAACAATACTCAAGTATTTGAAAAATGATGAAGTTATTGTCATTTATTTTGGGAACAACATGGAGCTACAGGCCAAGGAACGCATTAAACCTACCATCAGTTCATACCTAACGCAAATTACAGCACACCGATTGATGTGATGCAATTTGCATTAGCAAAATATTTTTCTTTCAGTGGATAAGCACCAAAACAGTTTCCACCCCAGAGGTCACAACCTTGTATTTCCGGCCCTGATTGTAAATGTTTCTGAAACGCTGCAACAGGAAACATAACTGTACTGAAATGGACAGCATAGCAGGCCAAGTGTTGTGTGTTTGTGTCCAGTGGGATCAGTTGTTTTCCTCACAGTAACAAGGCTGCGTGTACGGTAAACAAGGACACAGTTTGGCAAAAACAAACTGGACATTTCTGCTGCTAACACACTTATCAGCCATCAGAAAATTAAGAAATAAAAAGCACATTCTAGTCCAGGTCAATGAGTTGTGTCCAAAACAAACAAACAAAAATTGAGTCATCCATTATTTTTACATGAAACTTTTTCTGCCAAGTAGACAAAGTGTCTTGGGAGTGACGTGTGGAGCTGTGTAAAGTTGGTCTCCTCTGACCATCATTTGCTAAACAACTTTAGAAACAAATTTTAACTGTAGAAACATTAAAAATTACTATTGCAGATCTCAATTTCTCCAATTTTTTTGTACATTTAAAGCAAAATATAAATACATTTTTGCATATTATTTACGTTTCTGTAACATAACTAGCCACTACTTTCCTCTCTGCTGTTTTTTTTTTAAGCACGGTCATGAAAGTTACAATAAGGAGTAAGGAGAAATGGAGAAACAAAGAAAATACTGTCACAATATGCAGAGTAAATTTGAAATACAGCTGATTCACAGTAATACATCAAATTATACAGTTAAAAACAACTATTCTTCTCTTGCCACAAATGAAGCACCCAGCAGCTGATGACATTTTCAGGGGAATACACCCAGCTGGGAGCAAGAGGCAGCCGAGACATAATCCCCTCCAGTCCTACTGACTGGTACCGACCCAAACATAAACACACGGCTGGAAAAAAAAAAAAGGTAAAATTTAAAACTAACACTATTAATCGAGACCTTTAGGGAAAATGCATTTTGTTTGTTTGGACAGATTTTGTTAAAACGTATTTATTATTTTACCAGATCAACTGAAATGATGAAATAGTCATTAAGGAGTCAAACGGTATCAAAGCTGCTTTGTATGCCCTGCTAGGGTCTTTGTTGTAGCTTTACGCTAACAAACTTTGGCTTCACAGCTGCTCAGCATCCAAAACCAGATGGAATAATTACCTAAACATGAAATAACTCATTATAACAATGATGACTAAAGGTCTACAGGAAGAACAAGTCAGAACATTCTGCCACCATGACAGATAGCTAGATAGCTAG